TGACTGCAGATCAAGAGGTCCCTGGTTCAACTCCAGGTGCCCCCTTCTCTTTTCCCTTCATTTTTTTTCTCTTCCTTTGGCCAAAATGTTTCCCAGGGAGAAGGTGGGGAGCTCTTGTTGCATGTGGGAGTTTGGGCTGTGCACTGAATGTTGGTTGGGAGCCTTGGGATTCAATAATTGAGGCCCTGTTGGGAAGGGGCAGGGGTTGTGCACTGAGGAACTCCTGAGTTTGTTTGTACTTTTGTCTGTTGTTAATTCTCTCCAGTACTCCCATTTATCAGAATTGATGATATTTGGCATAATTTCTTCTGTTTAACTGGCTGTCCAGCCTGTGGCAGGTCCTTTAGGGTGCACGGGGGGCTGTCAAGTAAAGGAATGCAAACCATGGCCATCCAAACTTGTCTGTGTCCATAAACATTTTAAAATCCCCCTGTGCAGGTGCAGAAGCAGGGGGGTATAGCTCAGTGGTAGAGCATTTGACTGCAGATCAAGAGGTCCCTGGTTCAACTCCAGGTGCCCCCTTTTTGGTCCTTTCTCACCCTTTTTTTTCTCCCACAACCTCCTCACACGCAGCCCACAGAGAGACCCCCTTACCCCTCTGAGGCCTTGGGCATCACTTGATGGTGTTTTGCCAAGCATGAGAGCAGGTTTTGACGTTTCCTCTCTGTTCTCCATGTCCACACCAGCAGGCTCAGCTCCACAGCTGCTGCTCCAGTTCTTCCTGTCGGAGTAATTACCCCTGATTTAACCAGATTACCCCCGGTTTAACCAGTGAATTATCCCTGGTTTGACCAGTGGATTACACGTTTCCAGCAGTGCTGGGACGTTCCCCGGGGGCAGCCGAGGCTGGGATGACACAGGTCGGTGTGTGGGTCCCCCTCGGGGCTCGAACCCGCGGCCCCGGGTCCCGCGGGCGGTGGCGCTGCCCCTGAGCCGCCCCCGGGGCGGGGCCGGGCGGGGCGGGAGGGGGCGAGGCGGGAAAAGGTGGCGCAGGGGCAGCGCGGGGGGTTGGGGACAGCGGGGACACCGGTTCGAGCCCGCGCTGGGCCGGGAGGGCACCGGT